ACTTTTTTTGATCATATTTGAATGGTTCTGAAGCCTCAAAAAACAATACCATCAAAAAAAAGCATTATTTCCGATACATGTCAACAAGCTAATAAATTGTCTTCGAGAGAAGTACATAATTTATTATTGTGTGTGCTTTGGATAATCCAGATTTTGATAACAAGTTCGTGTGTATTTCTGAAAAAACAAATTGGACAGGCCTGAAAACGTCCGTTATATATTTTAGTCAATAAAAACCGTTTTTATGCTTTAGATGCGTTGACAGCTGGGTGTACACCAAGGGTGTCCTTGAAGATGTTTGTTTTAGAAAGCGTGATGGCTTGAAATAAAAAAGTTTGTTAGAATATTTTTTTGTTGTCGATAGACTTCTAAGAGATTTTATATTATTTTATTAAAATATATACAAAATGTTTTTGGTCTTTAGAAAGTATTGTTGTGGTTTAAAAATATTCGGATGACATTTTTAATAAATAATAGTAAAAACAATAATTTAAAATGTCTTTAAAAATTTATCGGAAAATAAAAATGCCTTCAATTAACAAAGATTTTTTTCCAAAAAATTTTTAACTCAAAGGTGAAAAACTTTCATTCGAAATCCATTCATGAAACCCAAGTATCAAACCCAACGAAAACCACCAGTATTCAAAGCGGCAGTTATGTGTAATGCCGACCGACTCAAAGGGAGGCTCGAGAATGAGCCCGAAATTTTTGCAAGATTCAAAGCCCTGGAAGAAGAAGTGAATAAACAACAATTTGTGAGAGAACAAGTGGAGATCATGCTGTCTGAGTTCTATGATCTCCCACTTACCCGCAAATGGTGGATTGAAGATTTTAATGTGTTCATGGGAGGAGGGAGAATCGCGGGGTCACAAATGAGAAAGATATTCAGTACTTTGAAAGAACAAGGTGGCATTCCTCTTTTGAATCTCGACGAGAGGAATGCTCTAAATACTTTCATATCAAAGTAACAAGAAGAGAAAAAGTTTGTAACTCTGAGGGAAGCAACTGAATTTGTTATGACCACGTTTGTGAAAAAGTTGACAGTCAAACAAATGTCAAGTGTTGTGAGGAAAATTGGTGGTCTAGATGTTAAAATGGCAGAAACAATGGAGAAAGGAAGGGCTGAACTGGACCCCGAAGACGTGAAAACGTACTTGAGAAAGATGAAAAGATGGTCACTGGCAAACACGCATCGTTGATTTATAATCTCGACGAAGTTGGTTTCGACCTCTTTGTCGATGGAAAGAAGAAGGCAGTATGTGTTGACACGTTGAGTGGTGAAGCGGTTTATACTACACTGGGAGAACGTGGAGATAGAATCACCCTTCTAGGGTGCATTTGCGCCGATGGGAAACCCACAAAACCAATGGTGATCACTTTTAGACTTCAACTTGATGGAAACGTGCTTATCAACATCAATTCTTCCGCGGTTGTTGTGACTCAAAAGGTTGGATTCATCAATTCTGAATTTTTCTTTGAATGGGTGGAAAAAATCCTCGTGCCTGATGTGAAAAGGAAAAGAAAGGAGTTAAAACTAAAACGAGAGAAAGCTATCTTAATAATGGACGGCTTTAAAACCCATTCAACCGTAAGAGTGCTTGATTTGTTAAAAAGGAATCGAATTGATGTTCTCTTTTTGGTTCCACACTCTTCACATATCTGTCAGCATTGTGACCTCTGTTTATTCTCTTCTTTGAAAGCGCACCTTGCTAAAGATGAACTGATCGACATCGAGATGGGGCTTCTTGGAACGAGCGAGTCTTTCTTCATTTCTTCAGACCTGTTTAGCGACCTCGTGAATAAGAGGCAGAATATGAGGCTTTTTGCGATGTCTAAAATCGAGAGGCGAATTGTGTGCATTGTCGACTCCTTCTTCGCAAAGGCGCGCCCGGAAATCATAAAAAGTTTTTTCGAACAAGCGGGCATTGTATTAACAAGAAAGGAGCACAAAGAAGGTTCATCTATTTGTGGATTCCAATCAGACTCGTTGGTACCGATCGCTAAATGCGACTTCACACATGCAAGAAGATTGAAGAAGTTTTTGGGAAACGACATCTTTGTAGAAGAATTTGCAGAGAAGGTTGGTTCGATTGAAAGAATTTCTTTGGAGACAAAAGACCAACGAAAGAAACGATTGTCCAAGAAGGACAAAGATGAGTAAT